CGAGACTCGCCAGCCCAACCACGGTGCCCACTGCAGATGAAGTGTCCGCTCCACAGGGGAGAGTAGCTCCCTGGATGAAGAAGAAGAGCTCCAGCACGACGAAGATGGAGCCTGCAACTCTCGAAGAAGACCTCATTGAAAAGCTGCTTTGGCAGCAGCTGAAGTAACCCCAACACGGCACAGCAGGGAGGTGAGCACTCAGCAGCGCCTTGGGTCTTTCCCCAAGCACTGCCCTTGATGAAGCTGAACGGCCGAACGTCCACCACCACCACGAGGTTAAAGCCCTGCACTAGCGCTGGAATAACGCAGCAGTTGTTCTCCCACCTCCCTTCCAGCAACGTGGAAAGAAAAGATGGAAAAGAACCCCTCCGCCCTCGGCACTTTTGTTGCCCTCCTCACTCTAGGACTGGACAGCCTACCACCTAAGACAGACAGCCTACTGCCTAGGACTGAATCTAGACCAAAACCAGGAAAACGGGGGGGAAAGCCTACATGCCTAGGAATGCAGAAAAGACAAAAGGAAAGGCCAAAGGGCCTAAGACTAGCCAACAGGGACCGCTACAGTCAAATCTGGGGATCGAGTCCAACAAAACTCAAACAAACAAACCAACACAGCAAACACCTTACAGGTCACCGGATAAAGTCCCGCTGGACTCCAAACTAACAAAACGTTAGAAAACAACCTAACGACTCGGTGTTACACCCGCTGAAACCTGCAATTCATACACTATGATGGCATCTCAAGGCCATCCCCATTTCAAACAAAAAAAAGAGAAAAAAATGCAGGTGAAGAGGCTTTGTTTGCACCTCTCTCTCTCTCTCTCTCTCTCTCTCTCTCTCTCTCTCTCTCTCTCTCTCTCTCTCTCTCTCTCTCTCTCTCTCTCTCATGCGCATGCGCAGCGTCTCCTGATTATTACTATCTGTACAGTCTATTGGAGGGAAGACCTTGGTGATCCGTGTGAGGTTTCACGTGCACCCCCCCTCCTCTCTCTCTCTCTCTCTTATGCGCATGCACAGCGTCTCCTGATTATTACTATCCGTATAGTCTATTGGAAGGAAGACCTTGGTGCTCCGTGTCAGGTTTCACGTGGAGCTGAAGCCGCTCCCCCCCCTCTTCTCTCTCCCTCTCTCTCACACGCACACAGGCGCACTCCCCATCGTGCGCATGCCTACTCTCTCTATGTCTGGTCAAAACAACCAAAAAAAAAAAAAAAAAAAGGAAACGCACACATACAGTTCGAACTTCGAACAGATGCGCGACACGCACGCGCACTCTTTGAAGCTACGCACTTTTATTAACTTTCCACTTGTTTGACACATACACACACTTCGAAACGACACATTTCCCCCCCCCCAACGTACTGACTTGGCACTTTTTCTTCTTCTCTTTTCAATGTTTCATACTTATCCTGTTATTGGACGGAGCATGTTGCGCAGAAAGCCACATAATGGTTTTCATTGAAAGAGAGTCCCACATTGGTGCAGTTAAGTTTCCTTCTCTTTTCGTACTTATCTCGGTACTGGATTGAGCACGTTGCGCGGAATGTCGTGCAACGGTTTCCTTCGAAAGAGAGACCCGCTTGGGTCCAGTTAGCTTTCTCTCCTCTCCTACTACCACCACCGCCCCCCCGCCTGACCTTTCGATTTCAGCACGTATATCGCTGTGAGTTTCGGAGGGGTTGGGGGCAGGACTGGTGGTTGAAGTAGCCATGCGATGGCGGAGGGCACTCGGCCTGTGTCCTTGCTGCATGACCTTTCATGGACTCCTCAGTTTTGATTCTCTCCATATTTCTTCAACAAGCCCCATGTCAATTTGTCTTCACTTACGTATCTGAATAACGCAGTTGAAGAAGAAAATGAAAAATGTCTACCATCGCCATAAAAAAACTCACGAGCCTTCAATAAGGTTGTACTGTACCATCAGTTGTTTCAGAGATATGTGCTGCTGTGAATTTGGCCCAAGGAGCTTACGAACTAGATGTACAGAAAGTGAAGATAGACAACGATAGATGCCGTGAAGAACAGAACAGGTTGCCATGCACATTGCTGGCTGCTTTTGTGGTGCATACTTCGACCAGTTTATAAACAACAGATTCAGAGTTTGAAACCTCTTGGATACAATGATGCTAAGGGCCTTGGGGACTTGAACTGAGAAGAGAAGGAAAAGAAGAGCAGGACTCCGTACCTGATCATTGTGTATGTCGGTCAGTTCCTTGACGCCACAACTCAAATCGTTCAGATTGAGTTGCGGAGGCAGTATAACGAAACTGTTTTCTGTGGTGAACTCCTGCGGAATACAATCGAATGTTCCAAGTTCCAAATTCCAACACAAATGATCAATGTAACTACCAGCAAGGAAGGAAGTAAAGACTACTTACAACAGTGACCATTGTGCCTGAGTGAGACCCCACCAGCAGACTTACCGACAAATGGAATTTGAACCCCCCCCCCACCATATATTTCCCATGAAATTGGGAGCGCTGGAACAGCCCCCCGCACTGATCATCTCCATTCAGTGGTCAAAATCAACATGATTTTTAGAAAAAATTCTCCCCATTTTAACTTTTACCGTAGAAGTTTTACGTTGTCATGATCTGCAATTTGCTGTAAGAACCTGTCGATAGATTGTAAGCTGTGATCACCAAATTACTATAACTATGATTCGAGATTACTTGCACCAGCTGCTCTGTTGGGGTTACACATTCCTCAGCTGCGCCAACCATTCTTTCTGATATTCTCCTCCAACCTTTGATATTCTAAGCGCCCAAACAGCCAACTTGCCTCCAACAGAACACAAACATTATGTCTGTGTATTGGCCAAATGCACATATCTTGTAATCACTCACTTGTACACACAACTATGAACACCCTGCTACACGTAGGCACACAAGGCCCTCATTCTGCAAATACCTGATCCGGGCATGATTTCCCGACTAGTTACTGCAGTAAGAACTATTCAGCACTGCTCCCCTGATCTTACCCAGCAGAGAAGGTTACCAGCGATGTCTGGCCTAAACCACCAGCCTGTTTCCTATGTACCTTGTTCCAGCACGCAGGCTAACACGGTGCAAAACCGAGGTTTGGGCATTCTGCGGTGGCAAGATGACACCCCCTCACAGTTATTGTTTTTCAGGGCTGGGCAGCACAGTGCATCAGAAAAAAGACGCTCGGACAGAGTTGTGGTTTAACTGCCAGCTACCTTGACTGCTGCAGCTGTGACACGTGTTACCATTCGTGACATCCACTCCACCCTTACACAGTTGGAGCAACGAAGGCAGCAGCCTCATGTCAATTAAGCCAGCTTGCAGAACCTACATAATAACCTGGGGGTTCAGGATGTCAACATAAGTTCACTTCATTATACAATTGATACTCCGTTTAGAAAAACCACCAGGACACATTTCCTGCCAGTTAGACCACAAGTATTTCCAAAAAGTTATCCGCCATGCACACGCCAGCCATTATTATAGTGCTGCGACAGTTTGTTTCGAAATGAATTTATCCACTAGCGGCAGGTCCGTTCATCCCAGCACATCCTGCGCATGCATGGCTGTACTTTCGGGAAGTACTGGTGGTTTATGGGGTCCTATGATGACAAAGGCTGCACCCTGCCATCTGTTTTCCAAGATGAATGGCAGTCCAGGTGGGCCAGGTGGGCAAAAGCAGTGAACATGCATAATGCTGTGCCTGCATTTGTGGCATGCCGCTGGCTGCCTGGCATGGCTGCCCATCGCTGTCTTCACAATACTTCATGGGTGCCCATTTGGGGTTCTGAAATTTTCTTGGTGCGCAGTGCACACAAGCTGGGTCACCCAAAAAGTTTCCGCATGTCCACGAGCCCATCTCAACTTTTTCTGTTAGTTATGCGAGAAAGTAAACAGAACGCAGGTTAGCCCTTCAAAGGCTTATGGACCATGAGGGGCCTACAACCCGTCCAGTTTCTTTGGCCACACTACCACATGCACAACACATGACCGCAGATGGCCTAACGGCCGTCCATTCTCTACATGGCCGGCATCTGAGTCATACCTCCCGGGAAAAATAGGATTTGAGTTGTGACTGGAAATATGATATCGCTAAAAGGTTACGGGGGGCAAAATGGGATTTGAGTTGTCGGGCGATAAGCACGCTAAGAGGTTATGGGGGTCGCAGAGGGCCTTCAACACTCTTGCCCTTCCAGCCCTTCAGCAGCTTTTCTGACTATCCCCACTCGCGCACAGCACAGCAGAAAGATTACTAGAAACCTACCATATACAATCAAAACAGCACATGGCTCTTGGACTGAGAAACTAGTTCTTTGTTTTACCATGTTGCCTACTTTCCTATAGTTCCTTTTTTATACTTCACAAGTTCACATTGAACTGAGGATGGGATGGGTGGTGTCGGTTTCATTCTTTTCTGGGCCAGGCAGCGAAGCCGGCTAGGGGAGAACGGGATTTGAACCCTCAACCTTGACCTGGGCAAGGCTATACTCTACCAATAAGCTATTCCTCCATCAGTCCACTTTATTCTTGTGGTGTGCGTGCCACAAGTGAGAAAGAGGCCGAATAAAAATGATTGCAAGCACGGTTGCACACTTTCCTTTAGTTCTTTTTGTACTTCAGTGACATTGAACTGAGGATGAAGCTATGACTTTCTCATGGGCTATCTAACCTTGGTCGTTTTCTTTTGCTATCCTATTCTTGTATCAATTACTCTTAGAACTATGCACTCTGTTCAAGTGAAGCATAACACGCCACCTCTCTCTCTCTCTCTCTCTCTCTCTCTCTCTCTCTCTCTCTCTCTCACACACACACACACACACACACACACACACACACACACACACACACACACAAAATCAGTTTTATGTGTGTTTTTCCTCTTCTTTTTTTCGTCTGTCTGTTTTCCTGTTTCTTTCCAAGTACTTTCCGCGTGTCCGTGTGAGCACCTTTAAGATGTGCTAAAGGCAGTTGGTGGTTGGGTGTCTAGAGTGCCTGGAGGACTCTTAGGGGGGCTGCTCTGCTCGTGGTGTCTGTGGTGCATATGGTCTGTGGGCGATGATGGATGTCCATTGGAGTACCTTCCTGGCTCAGCAGGTGATGGGAACCAACAGTCTGCAAGGTTCACCCGTGATGTGAGTAGGCGATGTGCTGCTTTGCTCCATGTTGGATGTGTAGACTGCCTTGTCTGCGCTCCGCCGCTGCCTTGCTGCCCAACCTGTCGGCGTCGCATGCCGTCCTTTGCAAGCTACTGTGTTCACTGTGTAGTGTGGCTGCAGTGTTGGTGTCGCCCTGTGCTTCGCTGCGCTGCTGCCTTGCTGCCCATCCGTGTGCCTTCCCTTCCGCGTTCCTTGCTTGCATGCCACGTGGTGTGGCCGCTGTGCTGGTGTTGCCTTGTGCTTCGCTGCGCTGTTGCCATGTTGCTTGTACGCTTGCCTTGTCGTTCCTTGCAGCTGTGTTGCCTCAGCAGCATTGCCAAGTGCTTCGCTGAGTTGCTGCCTGCTGCTATGTTCCACTTGGGGACAATCTGCCTTCAACATGGGTCAAAGGGTCCAAATGACCCAAACCATCAATACGGGCATTCCGCAGATTGTCAAGGGTTCAGCCTCCTGATGAGTCTGTGCAACTCCGCCGAAACAATCTATCATCATTAGTTTTGAATCTTTGATTTTCTGCTTTGCCGACTGTTTCGTTTTCTATTTTTTCCGTCCTCTCTTCAGCGTCTAAGGAGAGCACCTTTAAGGTGTGCCAATTCGTCAGTGTGTGTTTGCCAGGACTGCCAGCAGCACTATGAGGGGGCTTGTTGTGTTCAGGATGCCCGTGTCTCTGTGTTTCCCGGTGGCGACTGACATCTGTCTTGTGGCTAACTGGCTCTTGCTAGCGGAGTGAACATACAGTCTGCATAATTTTTCTTCTGATGTGAGTTGGTGACAGTCTGCTTTGATCCTTGACGCATCTGTGGGTTTCTGCGTGGTTGTTGCTGTCCTGCTTTTGCCTTCTACATGCCTTGTCGCGTTTCAGTCTATCGTACTGTGTGCCTTGCTGTGTTGTTGCATGCCTGCCCTCTCGGCTGTGTTTGCCCACTGCCATAACGAGCTGTGTGCCTTGCTGTGTTGCTGTGTGCCCACGCACCTACCTGTGTGCCCAGCCTGCTGTGCCTTGTTATAAGTCACCTTGCCCATGCCTAACACTGCATGCTTTGCTGTGTTTGCCCATTGGCAACAAGGGCTGAAGTCAGGGGATTCTGTAGATTGTCGAGGATAGGTGTTGTCAGGAGATTCCTCAAAGTCGTTCTTGCTGCACGGAGATATCATAGGGATAACTTGACCAATCGTTTGAATGAATAAAGGACGTCTGTTCGCTTGGTTAATTTTGCACAAATTGATCTGCATTCTGGCTTTTTCGGAAGTTTTTCCATTTGAGATCCATAAAACGGGGGGCAAGTTCACCACTTCTCCTGAGTCTGACACCCGCCCGATGGAAGGTGAAAAGGAGAAGCGACATAAGCTACGAATGAAGCCCCAGTAAACAGCGGCAGTAACTCTTTGCCCGTCAACTTTTACACAGTTATAAGGTCTGGCTATATGCTGGAACACTCACAATTCTTACATACACTGCTGAGAAATACGGCAGAAAGGCCATAAAACGTGGTTTACCCCCCCGTTAAATCCACTGACAAGTTCACCACTAAAGGCCGTAAAACGTGGTTTACCCCCTGTTAAATCCACTGACAAGTTCACCATTTCTCCTCAATGATAGAATCACGAATGTTTAACGACAAATATTGGTGTTCCTCTGCCCCGGATTGTGTTATTAACCTTTAGAAACACAAGTAGCAAGTGGACAGGTCTTGAGTTCCAGTACTGCAGAGTACAAGGGCACCTCCATCGAAAAAACAAAAGAAAGAGAAGAAAGCACCATCACCTCGTTGTGTATCATTCTTAAACAGGGGACAACGGGACATGATAATCCTCTCTGCGGAGATTTTCAGCGACCATGCAAGGAAATACAGAGAAACCCCTATCATATGAGTCAACAGATCAATCCTATCCACCCTGAGGGACTAATAAACCCTAGCAAACAATGCCCACAGGGAAAACACCTAAAATAAGGGTTACAACTACTCCCTTGACCTCCCTTTCTCCCTCTGTTTCTCAAAAGAGGCAACCAAAGTCTACAGCGCATGAAGAACTCTATTGAGGGCTCTACATCTTATATAACAGTGGTGTTTTCAGTCACAACCAAAGAAGCACCTGGCCATAAACACAGTCAGCACGACTCAGCAGCCTTCACATTTCACCTCCCAACAATTCAGTGAGTGAAGTTGTGTGAACTACAAGCCAAACAACTGATGCTTTCTCATCCCCAACCCAAATTCTCTCTCTCTCTCTCTCTCTCTCTCTCTCTCTCTCTCTCTCTCTCTCTCTCTCTCTCTCTCTCTC